TAGCTCTAATCTAACTAATTCAAAATACTTTTGGAACATATTTTTTGAATTTTATATTATATATAGTTCCGTACTTTATAGGCCTACTTAAATAACTATTCATGCTTCTGTTTTCCACCCAAAAAAAATCATTTTACTTTTATATTAATTTTATTTCTGAAATATTAAATAATATTAAAAAAAGAACAAATTTCTTATTTACAGCACCATTTTAAACACAAATTAGGGCTGGTTGGCAACGTTAGGGAAACATATTTATTTTTATCCTTTATTTAATGCTGCTTGTCCTAAATATTTTTTCGTGATGACTGTAGATAATGACCCCTTAACATTTTAATTTCTCTTGTGCGTTACTTCTGAATATTTGGTGTACAATCTCAGCTAAAACTTTATCCGGCCTTTTAGTTGAAGATTTTTTAAATAAAAATAATTAATTATTGATATTAATTTTAAAATTTATATATAGAATTATTTTAGTTATGTTTCCAAATTGTCTGGACATATTTTGTGAACTTCTTTCTTGGGCTGAAGCCGGGTTTTCCTAGGAGCGGAAGCGGAGAGCGGAGAGGAACGCGGAGAGCGGACTCCACTTGTCTTAGGTAATTTAATGTTTCTGTTTTCCCAGAAGCGGAGCGGAACACCATGTTAATTTCTTTTCCGCTCTCCGCGTTCCTCCCTTATGAAAAAGATTATATATGGCCATATAAAATTTTTTTTATCCGGTTATATTTGGTTTTGGACCAAATATAACCAGATATGATCATATATGTAATCCCCCATATATGGAAATTTTAAAATAAAAAATATATAAATAAATAAAAAAATAACAATTCAACATATTTGCAAATTAAATGATATAAACTATGCATTAAAATTATAATAAATTTTTAAATTCAAAAAATTCAAAACAAAATTTTCAATCAACTGACTGGGATTCGAACCCGGGACTCCAGCGTGAGAGTCCACCCCTTTAGCCACTACACCACAACCGCTTCATATCAGTTGGCTTAACAAAACCTATTACGAATGATAGAAGCTGTATTTGGTCTCGTAAAACAAGATGTTTCTTAGACATTTTATGTCATTTGAAGAATGTTATTATTAATATAGCCTAACTACGTGACATTGATATTTGCGGCTGTTTGATAGCAAAGGTACAATTAATTAATTATTAATATAATATTCTCCTTGTTTAGGCCTACTACACTTACAATTTTAAAATTATACGTCAGTTTTAAGATTTTGTTGCGTTATAATAAAATTGTACAATAGATGTATGTACAGGATTTTGTCATCCGGGTTCAAATCTGGATACTTTAATTACTTTACTACTAATTACTTTAAAGGAGAGATACCTATATTATCTACTGTACCACATTTCAACTCAATCAGTTCAGTAGTTTGTGCTTGCGAGAACAACAAGAAAATACACAAACTCACAAACTTCAAGATTTATAATATAATAAGAAGTGTTTGGGAGTCCAGTTACATAATCCATATGTGGCAACAATTCCTTATAATAATTCCAGTTATTGTCAAAAACTCATTTATACATGAGCAAAAATTGAAAATTATTATTCCATATATGAGTAATTTAATTCCATACCTGGGAGTCATATATGGCCATATATAGACCATAATTCCATATATGGAGGATATTTATGGCCAAATATGGGCAATAATTTCATATATAGAAAACATGTATGGCCATATATGGACAATAGTTTTATTATATAGAAAATATGTATGGCCATATATGGCCAATAATTCCATATATGGACTACATATATGACCATATATGGACACCACCATATATGGATACAACCATATCTGGCCATATATGCTTCCATATACGGTCATCAAAAACCATATATGACTTTATATGGCCAGAAATTACTTTTTTATAGGGGCTCTCTCCGCTCTCCGCTTCCGCGCCTAGGAAAATCCAGCTTAAGACAAACATAAAATGCCATATAAGTATGGGTCTAAAATGCCTAGATTTTAATTTGTCGGTCTGTTTGTGATTTTTAAGAATTATTTTATATCTTGGGCATTTTTCAAGATAGAACTTTTAAAATGGATATAAATGTGTATTTTAGAAGGTGATAAGAGCTTGCAAAGTTTCGATCCAATATCTCAAGCCGTTTCAATATGGCAGCCATTTAAAATATTTAATGCCAAATTTAATTTGAAACCGTAAATATTTAGAATATAGTTTCCTGGATCAAAAAGATAGAGAATTCAAATACAAATCAAATGAGACCTTGTTTGTAAAATCGGATGACAAACAACCATAAATAAGTTTTTTTTCAACATTCGGTTACGCAATTTAATAGCACTACCATACTGTATTCTTATTTGTTATTTTTCAGAGCAGTATGGGTAATCCTATTAAATTGCGTAAACAAATTTAGAAAAAACTGATTTGGTTGTTTGTCATCAGATTTTAAAATAAACGGTATCAGCATTCTGACACATACTTTCTCCCATAAGATTGTCAACAACCTTTCTCATGAGTAAGCGGTGAGAGTAAATTACCGGAAATGGGATTTGTACAATTTTCTTCAGAATTTAAAGGACTATAACATACTAAATTTTTATCAAAATCGTTCTAGCCAATTTTGGGAAAATCCGATTTTCCGTTATTTTATGGGGATTTTTATGAGAAAATAACATAATTTACCATAACTTTTGAACCGTAGTTTTTACAGAAATGGGATTTGTATCATTTTGTTTAGAATATAAAGGACTATAACATACTAAATTTTTATCAAAATCGTTCGGGCCATTTTTGAGAAAATCATATTTTTCCAGTTTTTTATGGGGTTTTATGGGAAAAATCCCCATTAAAAATAAAATTTTCTAAAAAATGACAAAAACTATCAAAATTGTAAGGATCATAACATACTCTGTTAAACCAAAACCGGATTTTTGTCTAAAATCCTATTTTTTGTTATTTTATGGGGGTTTTATGGGAAAATAACATAATTTACCATAACTTTTGAACCGTAATTTTTACAGAAATGGGATTTGTACCATTTTGTTCAAAATTTAAAGGGCTACAACATACTAAATTTTTATCAAAATCGTTTGGGCCATTTTTGAGAAAATCCGATTTTTCCAGTTTTTTATGGGTTTTTATTGGAAAATCCCCATAAAAAGTCAAAATTTCAAAAAAAATGAAAAAAACGCCTGGAGATACCACGGATTAGAACCTACATACCAAATTTCATTGAAATCGGACCACAGGTGTAGTCCCTAGCTCTGTACACATCCAGACACACAGACACACACACAGACACACGCACACACACACACACACACACACACACACAGACATCACTTCAAAAACCACTTTTTTGGGTCCAGGGGGACCCAAAACGAATATATCCACTCAAAACTCAAACTCGAAAATTTTGACGAAAACAATACTTTCTCCATATACTATGGTATAGGGGGAGAAAGTAAAACAAGGTCTCATTTGATTTGTATTTGAATTCTCTATCTTTTTGATCCAGGAAACTATATTCTAAATATTTACGGTTTCAAATTTGATGATAAACAACCAAATCAGTTTTTTCTAAATTTGTTTACGCAATTTAATAGGATTACCCATACTGCTCTGAAAAATAACAAATAAGAATACAGTATGGTAGTGCTATTAAATTGCGTAACCGAATGTTGAAAAAAAACTTATTTATGGTTGTTTGTCATCCGATGTTACAAACAAGGTCTCATTTGATTTGGATTTGAATTCTCTATCTTTTTGATCCAGGAAACCATTTTCTAAATATTTACGGTTTTCATGAAATTTGGCATTAAAGATTTTAAATGGCTGCCATATTGAAACGGCTTGAGATATTGGATCAAAACTTTGCAAGCTCTTTTCACTTTCTAAAATACACATTTATAACCATTTTAAAAGTTCTATCTTGAAAAATGCCCAAGATATAAAATAATTTTTAAATGTCACAAACAGACCGACCAACAAAAATTTAGGCATTTTAGACCCATGCATACTTATATGGAATTTTATGTTTGTCTTAGCCCCAGAAACAAGTCCACAAAATATGTCCAGACAATTTGGAAACACCCTGTATATTTATATACACTATTCTATTTGATAAACTATTGTGTATGCTAGTATTATTTGGTTTTTAATATATATTGTATCAGCAAAAAAGTTCGATTTGTATGTAAAATTAAGTCCTACTTTTCAGTAAAAAGTCCTACTTTATGCTGAAAAAGTCCTACTTTTCCTACTTTTTTGAGGTCAAAAACCACTTGGGGGCCTGAGACTGAAAAAAGATTGCTATGTGCTATATTTAGCTAGGAAAGCGGACAATATTTGATTACAGGTGGAACATTATAATCTATGTCAATGTGATAATTAAATGAACTTGTTCTTGTTTTCAATCAAGTTATTGTAGTGTAAAGTTTTAATCTATTTTAACGCCTCTATTTCCACAGCATTACTGAGTGTGCTTCAGTCAATGATATTCAAACAGATCCATCAAGCTCATATCAAAGAGATTGATCGAGTGTCAGGATTTGTTTCTGGTTAAAATCACTCTATTTTTATACTATTGCGGTATTATTGTATTACATTCCTTTCTAGATCAGTAGTGTGTGTTAATTTTATACATAAAAAACGATTTAGCTGAAATTGAAATTATACGATGTAAAAATTATTGTACTCTTTAAGCTCACGGTAATCGACTTTTTTTATTTTTAAGAGGAGAGGAAATTGGCTGAGGAATACTTGGCTTTTACACTAATCGTGCAATAAGTTGAAAGATAGTCTTTCAATTTCTCCTTTTATAATGAGGGTGGAGCTCTAAGTATACCTCGAAACTTGTGTACTGTAGCAAGTTAACCACACGCTACTTAACTACGAGCTATGACTGTTCCACTAGGTATTTACTAGCCAGTATTAGTCATCATGCAGTTCTGGGCTATGAAATTTAACTATAAGTATTGATTGATATGTGTTGTTTCAGGATGTCTGGCGCAGGAGTTACAGATCATGCCTGCGATGCCAGTTCAGGCCAAACCTATCGGCAAGAAGGTGTTATTGACGTGTAGAGCTCCAGACGACAAGAATCTGATCACAGAACTACGCTGGCTAGACCCTCAGAACAACACCATCAGAAACGACAACATGTAAGTTAACACTCACTGGCGATTAATACCCGATTTTGTAACATTTTCATTGTACTCTTTCGATAATCGTTATTTTTGTCGTTATTTTTATTATATTTTTTGAGGCCACAGAGATTTTGTTATATAGCTTTGAGCCGAAGAACGAATCTTCTACTTCCAAATGCAAGCCTTCTTCTTGAAAAGTGAAAAGGGAGATGTGCATGGCGGGCACTGCGCTGAGAGATCTCCTCACCGATAGAGAGCCTCTCGAAAAAGTACTGTGGCCCCTGTAGACAAGGGCCTTGCGCAGGCACCATGCAGCACGTCATGATCCTGCAAACAGTAGCCAACCTACTGGTGTAATATGTTGTCATCCCTGCTACAGCTGAACCTGTCAGTGTACAGCCTCTTTTGCACCGACGTTTATTTCCAGTTACGTGATTTAGGAATACAGTACAATCTTATTCATTCAGCTATCACCTACAAAATTGGTTATAATAATGTATTTCCTTCCTTTAATATTGTTACTACGTTGTCCCAGATATTGTCTAGTCTCACGAAAAGCTAGTAATGTATTTTTATAGTTTTGAAGGATTTTTGAGGTAGTAAAGTTTTGATTTAAATAAAAAAACTTAATGGCAAATCTTAAATGAGCTTTCTACATCCTTAAATGAAGTTACTCAGTAAGAAGTAAAGCTATCTAGTAAAATTAACGAGGTTAAACTACATAAATTGAATGAATTAAACTAAAACTTACAATACTTTAGGTACAATTCATCATTCTTACTTTTATGCTTAGAGGCACTTAACGATGAGTTTATATTAATGACTGTCTTGTAGACTTACATGAGATGTCCCTTAGAAGATCCCTTGTGGGGCTTGAGAGTGTGGTGACCCGTAATGGTTTCACCACATCACATAGGTCCAAGCACTTAACTAGCTTGTGTCCTAGCAATGCTGTACACTAGTTAATTCTACCTGAACATTACATGTGATTGATGAAACCGTTATGAGCACAAATCATAGATTATCTGAGATTAAAATTATTGTATCATCTTAAAACGTTAGGTGTCATCAATATTTTGATTTTGAAGTTAATAGTGTTTTAATTACAAGATCCTATGTTATTTTAAAAAAAATTGATTGTATTGTGGTTGTATGGTTCTATGTAACTAAATCAACTGAAAGAAATTTTTTATATTGTGATAGTTGCTTAATATTGTTACATTTTTCTGTCAGAGACTGTGTGCCTCTATAAATACCAATTTATGAAATTTGTAATTCAATACCAAAGTAAATTAAAATAGCGGCTTTACAGCTACAAGAATACAGTGCAATCAAAAAATGTTTAATGGTGTTTCCAAACACGAAATGTGAAAGTATGTGAAGAAACTAGTTTCTAATCTGGACTACATTATTTGACGATTATGTTTATAAATTTGTTATCACTTTTACAACTTAAAACTAAGTTCAAAGCTTAGTCAACCACTAAGAGACTTGCCTACTTAACATTAAATGTGTGGACTTACCAAGCAGTTAGCGAGTAAAACCACATGAGTCTATCACATCCACTTAAGAACCCCAGATCCCTCAACTTGCATAACTTGAAATTGGGTTCTTACGCAACAGCCGCGTTGGCTCAACAAGGTAAACCAACCAACTAATTTCCTGTTCGAGATCAAAATTTTACTCTTTTAATTTTAAATTTGTATTTTCTCATCTCTTTATACCAAGGTGTGATATAAAATTATTTAAATATGAAAAATGTGTCTCTGAGTTGTTGAAATTGTTTTAATGTGTTTTCTTCTAATAATTTTATCACAACTATTACATTTATAACTCATTTTTATTTGTACCATCGGTATCTTTAGTGTGAAGTTCTTCTAGTAAGTCAGACATAAGATTAATGAGAGAAAATGAGTGTAATATGTGAAAAAGAAACAAATATTACTAAATATACTAAACAAAACTGGTCCAAACTTCAATTAAATGTTATACAAAAAATGAACTGGTTTTTTACCATCCACTGAGGTTTTTTTTCCTATGTTGTTAACAAAAGAAACCCAAGTAAAGGTTAACAATTTAAATAAATGTTTTACCAAAGACCAACGTAATCAAAACCAAAGCTTGTAATAATTGTTTCTATTTCTCATCTTACACTCATGTCTAGCTTACTAAAATCTATAATTATTAATCCCCATATTGATTTACACATTGAATATACATTCGTAACTGTTTAGTTAAAGAGTATGTGCAATATGTGCACAACTTAAGTTAAAAACAGTCTATAAATTACCCCAAAAATAATAATTTCATTAATCTTGGTATTCATATCAAAATGTGTTTCTAACTCTACAACTACATAACCTGAATTTCGGCAGCGGGTTTTACTATCAACCAACAGTTCTATACTGGGAACTAATCAGTTCTAACTTTTGGGCTGCTTGGGAATGATCATATCTGATGTCTGGTTATGTGGTCCATCAGTTATGTGGTCCCATGCGGGCCACACTCGCTGATACTCTAACTTTAATGTCACCCTTTTATGTGGTTAACACCAATATTCAACCAAAAATCCACTCACGTAGTTTAGAAATTATTTTGCACTCTTTGTTTTAGTGGAGGTAATTTTTTCTTTTGTAATCTAGAAGTAACTCCTAAAAACAATTTGCTCAACTACATTTCGTTTGTCACTGGATTACTATGTATTCTGTGGCACAAAATTGTTAGGGTACTTAATACCTTAGAAAAAAATTGACCTTTACTTTTTGCAGATTTTTTTATCTTGCAGACCCAAATTTCTACAAATTTATTAATTTATTTGTTTAAAACATATCAACTATCTCTTCAACACATCTGTTATATCTGGCTTGATCCATATCCCTCCTTACTCCTTAATTACTCGCCTGGACTTACCTTGTTATCCTAAAACTTCTCAGGGATCTTCATAGTCCTTTCCATGATCCGTTTCTTTCAAGTCCCAAACCTCTAAGTCAGATAGACCATAAGACCATACTTTAAACAAGCTTACATTTCCTGACAGGACTAAAAATGCTTTCTATGGAACATTGCTATCCCACCAAAAAGACTTGAAGACCCTTTCCTGATCCTTATATAATTTTATAAAAAAGGCTGTAGCTCCTTTAGACCTAAAATAATAATGAATCTATTCCACTCAGTCACTCACTACAGAGATTGACTATCAGTAGAGAAGATGACTCTGACTCGTGACCCTCTAGCTCTTATATTCTTTACTCAGTGACTCACCAATGTAGCCCCAGACTTTACAGTGTTCTCTCTTTGTACAGATTGACCAGAGATCGACTATCAGTAGAGAAGATGACTCCTGACACTCTAGCTCTGATATTCTCGTCTCTTAAGGACTCTGAGGCAGGTGTCTACACTTGTACTGCAGTCTACGCTGGAAGCAAAACCATCAGCAAGTCCGTCCGTATAGACACCATATGTGAGTATCTCTGATGCTTTGAATTCTTATTTGTAAAGGTGGGTTTTCCTAGCTGACTAATTTGGCAGCAAAATTGTGAATGCTGTACATTTTTTCTGATGCCTTCGTTTTTTTAGTAGGGACATTTTCCTAAAACTGCGATATTCAACTGCAGGGTTAGTTAATGTGTTAGTTTTTAATTGATTGTCCGCAGTTTGCTTCTTTATAACGTTCTTAAAATCTACATATGAAAAATATCAAAATTTCTAAATATAGTAATGTTTACAAATTAATGTCTCACAACAACTAGTACTACTTTAATTATATTTTTATTTGAGTGATTATATTTTTATTTTTATTGAATTTGATCCTTTAGAGTACAGTATTATACATCATATCTATTATATCTGTGGGTTTTAGCGAATTTCCCATATAGGGAATAAGCTATTACCGTAGTACTCATGATAAGACCTGGACCCGGGACCGATTTACTTTTTCGTTTTTAGGTCCCTAGAGGCCAAAAACACCATCCTATGTATATATTTATATATATATATATATATATGTCCGTTAGCACGATAACTCGAGCAAAAATGATCCGATTTTGATGAAATTTGGTAGAAACCTGTAAACCTACATTTATTCGAACGAGTTCGCGAACCAGCATGATCGGACTATGGAAACGGGGGTTTATGGGAGGTTTTGGGGTAAAAATAGGTTTTTCCCATTTTTGACCCTAAAAACACAAAGTTTCACAATTTCTTTCCAAACCATTTTGTAGAGCTTAAAAAAACAAATAATTTAGTATACTGAAGCGTTATTATTCGCCTAATGGTTACGGATAAAATTCCAAAAAATTGTAAATTTAAAATTCCCATGTTATTCTTATGGAGAATAAGTCAACTGGTGTAGTTTGCTTGTTTATGAACATATTGTGATCAAATTTGGAAAATACATTCATTTCTTACTAAACTACAGTATGTATTAACATTTTACAACAAAAAACACATTTTTACCCTCCCTGTTGCAGCAAACCTAAGTAATCGTTAAACTAATCCTATTTTAATAGGGAATAAATGTGATATTGTTAAGGAGACATTTTAGTGTAAATCCAATCAGGCAAATGGAAATTCGCTAAGTCTGCAGGTTAGCTGCGGCAGGGGTATTTTTAAGTTAAAATCTTGTAAAACTTGCATACATACTGTAAGATTAAACAATAACTTTAGTGATATTCTATCATAGAATTATTCTCTTAGATGTAGTATCAAAGAATTATCTGTCAGATACAATATCTTATCTTGCAAGGAACTGTAAACTATTAATCAAACTTAGTATTGATTAATAACTTACTACTGGTTATTTCCACTAGGCCTATTATCTTGTATAAACAGAAACGTAAAATAATACAAGTTAACCACAAGTTATATGACTTTTAATAATAATCAATTCTAAAACCATGCAACATTTGTAATTTTTTATTTGATATTCAAGTCTGATAAAAATTAACCCAAAAAGAACAATAACCTGTTACACCTACTATAAAATTAAGTTTTATTTTTATTTTACTGTTGTTATCTATTCTCATTTTAATCCCTTAGGAATAATTGAACCACTCTTCTGCCTAATACTTATGCTAGCAGTACACTATCTCCAAATTTAGGCGAGCGAAGCTGAGCACGATAGTATAACCCGGTCTGCTTGTATATGCTCAGGATAGTTCGCTTCACCATGATTTCGTGCTCCATTTAGTTTTTTTGGAACAAGTCAAACGAGACGAGCAAAGGCGAGTGACGGAAGTTAAAATATGTGTAACCACTAGCAAGCATGTTCGGCGAACATGGGTGAGCGTGTACTCGGTGAACTCGTGGTTCCTGCTTGGCAGCATTCGTTTTTGCAACTTGAGTCAAAAATTTGGTGAAACATTAGGCGAACATTCCGCAATAGTTTAAACTAGCATAAACAGCGTTTATGAGTGTTGCTACATAATAATATTCATAAAAAGAAGTGTTCTGGTGCAAACCCTATTATTTTGTCACAAATACTGGAGACTGTGACAACATAGTTCCAAGGTGAATTTTATTTGTGATGTAAAAAACTTGTATTTGGGGAATAAAGTCATTATTTCATTATTTCATTATTACAACCAGGATTTTATTTTTAATGGCTTCTTATTGTTAATGTTAACATGCTTTGTCTGAATGTATTCCTGCATTATTTTACGATTGACCATTTATGATCGTTAACCATGTCTATGCTAAATAAATATGTAGATTTATTTATTAGAAGTTTAACACTAAAAACTTAACAAATTTTCTAAATATTGAATAACATTTTGCAGATGCCATAACATGGATTGATGCGCCGGAAGAACAGTATCCAATCATGGGCAGCAAGTACAAGGTGAAGTGTAAAGTTCAAGCAAATCCGTCACCGATTGTTGATTGGCTGCGCAACGGCCAGCAAATCCAGTCTACAAACAACGACAGATACGTCATCGACAACGACGGCCTGGTCATCAAGAATGTGACGGAGGACGATGACGGAATATATATCTGTCGAGCCATCGTCCTGGACACTGGCGAACTCAGTGAGAGAAACATCAAAGTTGAGGTGAGTACCTAAAAAAATATATAATTTGAAAAGTCCCCTCCTTATTCTAGTTCTAGTGATAATTTATCTTATTTCTCTTCTTTCAGCATCAAGTTATGATTTTGTAAGTCACAAGCCAAACATTGATTCCAAGTGCAAATTCTGAAATCTATTTTACCATTGATGTTCGTTAATACTTAAAGGGGTGTTGATATGAACTAAATGTTGACTTCTTTTTTAAGGGTAAAATGAACCTAGACTATATTTACTTTATTTTATTCTTGGTATCGATACCTGAGGACAAGTAATAATTCCTAAAAAGATTATTCTATTTGTGTGTAATAGTTCTAAAATCAATATAAATTAATAAAATCATAAAATCTCTAAATGTCCTGTCTAAAGTACATAATACATACATTTAAACTAATATCTGATCATTTAAAAGTAACTATTCTCTGATTAAGGTTAGTAGTATGATAGTTATGATAGTATTAAGTTGTCATAAACAATAATGTTAGATTTTACCATTTAAGATCCAATGGTTCATGAATGTCATTTTCTTATCATTTATACACTTGAGTGTTGTAGTAAAACAGAAGTATTATTCTCTTGACACATTTAAAAGATGGTATTTTCTTAGCCTGTTTTTTACACATCAGTTTGCATTAAAAAAAACTTAAAATTGTCAGTCATTACATCTCATTTAAAATTTTCACATTTCATCTATTATTTTGCATAGCATACAGCAAATAAGGCTTTCAGTCATGGCTCTAAAAGACCGCTACCAAATGTTTTACAAAACCAGCAGAGTTTAAAAAGGATGTTAATGGAAATAGTTAATTGGATTTAGCAATGCAAGGGTGTCCTATAATGATCATAGTGGCTCGTTTCCCAGATGACTGAGGTTTCATTTACACTTAGGCTAACCAGATTTTGTGTTTAATGTCATTGTGTAAGCATTATTTCAGCAACAAATAGTCTTTCTGTCCTTGCTTTCAAATGAGACAATGTGAGAGTGTTCAGAAAATCATTTTTATTTAAAATTGTTGTCCTGTAGAAGTTATTTTTAATACTTTGGATATAAAGTCTGTCACTATTTATTCCTTAAAAATGTTTTTATTCCATTAGTAGGAGTGAACATATTACTACAGTCAATAATAATGTTAAAATGTTATTAGTTCTTTAGTAAAATTACTAAAGAAATATTTTAGTTAGCTTTTCATTTAAAGTGTGTTTTACTACTAAAATAGGTTTGACTTATATTGCAGTAAATTATTTTAACTTAAAATCTTTATAAAATTTGTTGCATAATATTAGTGACATTTGATGACATATCAGACATAGTGAATGTTCTATTCAATATCGCCACAGGGTACAACATGTAACACATGTGTGTCATATTGTGTTCAGTCAAACATATTTAAGCAGTTTGACAACCCCGCTGGATTAAATATACCATTTTTATGTTATTCTTAATTATTGATTTTCATAGGAGAAATATGTATTCATAATTTACGTTTAATGCATTTTATTTTAATTTGGAGTTGGTGTAGAAAAGTGAATATTAATTTTTTTTACGACATCAGGTTTAAAACTTAAAATTATGAAATTACCACTTTGATTGGCAATAGATCTTTAACCACTTAAAAAATATAATATTTTAATTATGTAAATTAAAATTAATTTTTTGATACTTTTTGGTTTACTGACGAGTTATTATAGAGAAAATTTACTTTTCCTACAGTCACCCGACAAAGTTGGCTTCCTTGTACTGTTTATAGTACAGAAAGCTGCTAATTGCTGCATATTTATACTTTGCCGTACGGTTTATACTTTGCCGTACTGTTTATACTTTGCCGCACATAAGGCCCCTATTACACGAGGTAGCCTGGCGACGTCGCCAGCGGCAGTAGCTGGCGACGCACTGGCCACCAAACCTATAACCAGTTGAGTAGCCAGTTGAGTAGCCAGAATTTTCACCGCCGTGGCGCCGTTGTTGTGAGTGCTTGTCTTGCACTTGCACTTGTTATGAGCGGTGTTTACAGTGAATAATGAGTGATTTTAAGTATCTTCTCCTTCTGTTACTTCTGAAGAAAAGGAGGCAAAGGAAGAGAAAAATGTACGTTCATCCAATGCTAAGTGCAAGAGAATCAAAAGGGTTATATTACACCCTTTTTGATGAGCTCTGTGCGGACAATAAAAAATGTTTCAATTATTTTCGTATGTCACAATACAGTTTCTTCGAGTCATAAAGGATGATATAGACATTTTATCAACTGAAGTGAACAATTCACACACTCACAACACAACAGAACGCAACACAACAGTGTGCAAGTACCCCCGTGATATGAACTAACCGAGTGGCGACGTGATACTGGCGACCTAGTGTAATAAGCTCCATATGCTACAACGCAGCGTCGCCAATATGGGTAGCCAGTGGCTACCACAGTGGCGACGGGGCTCGGTAGCCAGTCGGTCGCCAAAGTGTGGCTGCGTCACTGGCTACCCTCGTGTAATAACATCCATAAGAAGCAATGCCCCATGACAAGCTGAGTAGCCAGTTTGGTCGCTGGCGACGTCGCCAGGCTACCTCGTGTAATAGGGGCCTAAGGATTCCAACGAAACAACACAAAACAGCGTGGTTCTATTATGCACGTAATCCGTGTACGCTTGGAAATAGGTTGGCAACACTTAAAGATAATAATACTATGAGCAGCTGATTGACGATTATAACTACGATTTAACCTGTCATTTCGTGTTTATAGTTTCAGTATTTCTGAACTTTCTGGACTTTTCTTTTAAACGTTTTAAAACATTCCTACCATCTTAATAAACAAGAAAATACCTTTAAAGCATTTTTGTTAGGCGCGAAAACCACTTCAAATTACAAAAACATACGGAACTATATTCTCAAAACGCGGAGCACATTTCTTGCCGAGGAAAAATAGCGGAGTGATACGGACCGCGAGTACTACTTTCACTATGGCACCATTTGTGTTGCCAGCTGAACCTAAAAACGTGTTGTATAGTGTTTGAAAGACTAATTATTTATATGCTTTATAGTGACTGTAGGAAAAATATAATGTGTAACCCGAGTGAAAAAAGGCCTTTGCTGCACTCGAGATCATTCCGCACGAGCCGTAGGCGAGTGCGTAAACATTGCTCTCGTGTGCAGCAAAGTGCCACTTTCACCACTAGTTACACAAATAACTATTTTATGGATTACAAATATTTATAAGAAATTAACAATGAAATAAATATTTTGTAGCTTATCAAATTTAACACCTAACACTTTAATCCATGTGTGACTACTAAATAATCTGCAGTGCAAAAAAACCTTACTCATTATTATACCTGTATCAGTATCTTAGGGATATTCTTAGTCTGTATTTAATTTTCCATGGCAATTTTTAGTTGACCCACCCTTAGTAAAAGTAGGTACATAAAAATAAATTAAATTACTGGCCAACTTTTTTTTTACTTTGATAAAATATTTAAGGCTTTAAAACAATTTCTATAAATATCTTCTAAAACCTTAATGTGAAAAATTATTTACTACTCTATTGAAAACCTTAAATTTTATTACGACAAACTATTTCAATACCAACAAGTTCTCAACAATATAGTTTGAACTCGCAAATCTACAATTATAACTTCTCAGACATTTTTTTACTTATTTTTCAACTAAATTATCTCATTAGCCCTTCCCAACATCCAATACCTAACACAAACATTGCTTTATGTAGGACATACGATTGTTTGACTATGATTGATGTTCCTATCCGGTATCGGCTGCTGATTGTCACTGTATGTGGTATGATACCGCTGCCGGCCCAGGTACGGTATGCGATATAACGTTACTTGTATTAAATGCCACACATTCCATTGACCCTGCCTCCAGGCTATGTTTCATTACTCAAATCATAGAAACCGAATAGTTTGCGGCTTCCAGTTACCTGCTCCAGTTTATAGTGATTTGATTAATTGTGTAAGTACAATATATTTTCTAAATTATTTGAGTGAGTATTTGTTGCATTGAATGTTTATTCTTTGATTCTTCTCTTTGATTCTTTGATTATTCTTCGATGCTTAAATTTGACAAAGTTATATAATATTAAGCTTTTTGTTTCTGGACATTATTACTAGGTTCATGTTCAAATATGCATGGTTTAATTTGTATTCACAGTGTAAAAGTTTAAAACCACATAGGAATCTCTTTATACTCTATTTAGTTATACAATTTAAATTAAACCCAATAATAAATCAAATAAACTAGAATATTTTATTAGTGTTAGGTTTCTTACAAGAGAGTTTTAAGGCAATAAAATAAAAGCTACCATGAAAGTTACAATTATTGAATTAATAAAATTGGTAAGAAATGATGTACACTGAAATACAGTCAGTGTTTAATTAATATTTATGCAAACGTCAGAAATGTATAAAAAAGAAAAACCGTTTTTAGTGTAGTATAAAAATAATATGGTTGTTTTAAAATTAAACGTAATGTAATTATGTGTCATCCTCTTCCTCTTCATCGACTATACCTACATTTGAGTATAGTCGATGAAGACACACCTGGTCTAAGACTTGTGCCCTTTGAGTCGCAAGTTCAAATCCGACCAATCGTCAATTGCACTTTGCTGTGTAATCACCGATGATGCTATGACCTGATGGTTTGGCCATCTATTGTGGAAACAAAAAAGTTAGGTCTTTTTGAGGAGGACTCCCTCAACTAAAAACTGTATACTAAATTAATTTTAAATGTTTCTATTCAAAATATTTGCTAATATTTGTAGCATGAATTGTTTTATTTGATTTTAGTTACCAAATCCATACTATAAATGTGTACTAGTGAATGAAACATTTTGTTATTTACCTTCGCAAAAGTTTAAATCTAATTCTAATTACTTTTTAAATTGTTTTAGTTTTTTATAGTTGAATAAACAAAAAGATATACATCTAATAACACTTGTAAAATGTTATTAGAGAATTAGACGTATATCTTTTTGTTTTTACAATTA